GATGGTGGTGATAGTGGTGGCGGATATGTTGTCAGTGGAACGGGCGAGGGCAGGGAGGGATGATGGTTAAATTGGATGCAAAGGTTATTTTTGTCATTCTAAAACAAAATTAGAAATTATGTTACATTTGCCACGAAATTGAATTCAAATCCTTCACATATGTTAAGGAATGATCAAATCCCTCAACCGTGGATTTGATGGAATCCGTGGATTTGATGGAATCCGTGGATTCCAATCAATTCATTCTGCGAACCAAACACCATTAGGAAATTTGGTCAAAGGAATTTGTCCTTTGAATTTCACGAAAGCAAACAGCCCCTAAAAGAGGTAGATAGAAACCAAACTCAGTAAATTGTTATCTTGGGTTATCAAAGAAAGAAGGTACAAACTTTTTCATTGTGTTATTATTAATACTTGTATGGCTAGGGTTTTGGTGAGAAATTGATGAAACATTTTAGGTAGAAGGAGACTGATAAAACTCCTAATAAGTTGATCCAATGTTAAGCGTGATTTTGAATTATGGTCGATTAGAAAATCAGTTTATTAAATCAAACCTATTGATGCAGTCTATCGGTAATCTTTCAAAGAGAGTTAGTAAAACGTCAAGAGAAAGTGGGTCCTTGGAAGAACCTTTAGGTGTACATTTTTAACTCTTAATACTAGAAATTTGAGATATTGTGGTAGCTACACTATCAAATTGTTGGTTGGTAATGTGAATTACTTGTGTAATTGTGAGTAATCGTATTGCTTATAATGATAATGTGTTATGAAAGCAAGGTTATGTGAATTTACATTTTTTTTCCTAAAAATAGTGGAATAATAATGTTGTAGATGTCATTATTTTGTGGTGATGTAAATGGTGTGGAGAAAAACACTCGTTTGTACTGTGGAGAGTACCTACGTGCTAAAGAAAACACCATGTTTGATATGTCATGCATTTAATCTTTCTTTTAATTGTGTATCGTCTGTTTTCCTATGTGTATTCACTTAGCTTTATTGTTAATGAGTATTGTGTCTTAAAAACAAGAGTAAATTGCAGATATTTACCTTCACGAGGTGGGACGTAACTATGAGAAACACAACTCAGTCTTAAAAATAAGAGTAAATTGCAACTTTGGCCTTTATGGTTTGTTGTTTTTCTTGGTTCGGGTTCCTTATAAAATTTGTATTGCAAAAAAAGAAACCCTTATTTGTTTGGTTTTGGTAAGGCATTAACACCCTTAAGAAATCATTAAAACAAGGGTATTATGGTCATTCTACTCTTTTCTTTTCTTTTCTATTACAATTTTTTTTTTAAAAACATTATATAAATACATATACATGAGACACATAGTTAAAGAAAAGAGTAGAATGACCATCTCTGACTTCATCTCCGGTGTCCCCCCTCAGGCCTCATCTCTGGCTTCCATAAAAGCACCTTCGTTCCTTTCTCCGATTTAAAGGTCTTGTAGACCACAAACAACAGATCCTTAGTTAACGTTCCTTCAAGTTCGAGAAAAAAGTTGTCGTTCCTTTCTCCGAGATGCTTTTAGATCAAAAATCCATCGAGTAGGGACAATAAAGAATGTTGCCTACAAATGAGGAACCAAACTCGCAACTAGCAATTTCAACAGTCCATAACGAAGTTTGTTAGTTAACATAGTCCAAATTGCATGAAATGGCGTGGGTGATATTAGTAGTTTGATCTGATCTATTTCCTTCAATGGTAAAGTCACGTCCCTAGATGTAGTAGCCAACCTTTCTTTCAAATGTCACAATAATCCGTAGATGACTTTTGTGAAGGTTGGTTGAAGATGATGTTACGCCACGAATTATACCCAGCTGCTACGAGAAAGAGCATAATACTTGATACTAATGATTCCTCGCGGTTTTTCATGCAAATTTGACCATGGTGTGCACCCCCTTAAACCCAAGTATTGATAGGAATATTGGGGGTTCGAATCAGGTTCTGTTTTATCTGCCCATACGAGTCTTCCCGTACTCCAGAAAAGCAGAGGTGAGGTCTAGAGATGGGACGGTGAATGAGCGAATAAGTGGATTGAAGAATTCAAGCAAGGAGAAGCACGAGCAAAGCAATCTGGCTAATTCGAACGGACGAACATAATTTGCTACCTTCACCCTATCCTGCTTTCACGGCTTTGACTGGGAACCAAACAAAGAGAATAAACATGTTGTTCATCGCTTCATCTGCAAAAAATTCTCGATGTGAAAACACAGAGACAAAGGGTTGAGCTCGTTTTATATGTATTTTCATATTTTGTTTAATCTAAGGTTAAGTAATCAGTTTTGCGTGAATGGATACTCTGAGATAGAGCGAGAAAAATTGAATTATGTGGATTGGCGGATTTCTCATAGTTGCGGGGCGACTGAAAATTGACTGTAGATGAGTATATAAACATGATATACCAGTGAGTGCTCATTCTCTCTTAAAGTTCGTTATGGCTATGGATTGATAAGTTTGTACTCCACATTCTAGCTTCATCCTTGGTTCAAATGTAGGCACAAAAATAGAAAAAGTCGTGCTGAATCGATAGAGACTGATTCATTTCTACATCTTGTTAATGCAACATATTTTAAAATACAAATGACTTATAAAATGCGTGTTAATTACATTATTTAAAGAGTAGATTGTAAAAAATAGCATATTTTATTCCATTTATGATTTGGTTAATTGTTACAGAAGTGGGAATAACTTTCTATAATATTCTTGAAGATTGGTGTTTTTTGTCAGGGTCCTTACACGATACTTACTGGTAAGAGTCTAACACTTCATTTAATTGGTTGGGTAATTACAATGACATCGTATACAATATTTTTATCTGTTAAGCGCTTACCGGGTAAGAGTTGTCACTCTTATTTATCGGGAAAGACTCGGTCCTTACCATCGCCTCTTACTGGGTTAAATTTTCAATTATCTCATGTTCATTTGATAAGATAAAATGATTTGGTAAATACTTATCAGGTACGTGTGAATATATTGCATTTAAAAAAATGTTTAATTCCAATAAAATAAAGGACCAAATGATTAAGTAAGAAACATCCTTGTTGTCGGGTTGAATGTTTATGAGTATTAAAGATGCAACTTGGCCATGATGTTCTCATTAGTCCTCACTTTTTGTTTAATGATTATTTATTATTATTATTATTTTATATCTATTTTTCTAAAATCAGCATGAAATTAAAAATAATATCAAATGGTACACCAAGAAGCAACCTTAGTACTTGAAAATCTCAATTAACATACAAGAAAAAGAAAACAGAAATCATAAGGGTAGTGTTAGATTGGTTTGAGCTCTAAATGTCAAAAGCGTTTGGAGGTCCCGGTCTCCCAGATTCGAAAACAAGGAGGAATAAAAATCCCCTTGTAGCCATGGAGGTTCAAATGCGGTGACTTTGCGGGTGATCGCCTTGGAATTAGTCGGCTCGCATAACGGGTTAGATATCCATGTTAATAAAAGTAAACGAGACGAAAGAAGCAACCTTAGTCCTCGAAAAGCTCAATGAATATACAAGAAAAATAAAAGGGAGACGGAAGAAGCAACTTCAGTTCTCGAAAAGCTCAATTAACAAAAAGGCCACTCGAATTTTTTAATTAACCTGGATATCCAATCTATTATGCGAGCCGACTAATCCGAGGACAACCACCTGTTTTGCGGATAGCCCGGAGTCACCGCATCTGAACCTCCGTGGCTACAAGAAGATTTTTTCTTATGTACTTTAACCTTTAGAGCCCAAACTTAAATCAATCGGGCACCACCAGGCCAACTCGATTTTATATCTATTATTCTTGAATATATGTATATTAAAATATGAATAATATACTGTTACTTGTGTACTCATACAACATAATATAATATTATTGTATTGTATTGTAAATCAGAAAATAGAAAAATAATGTAATTTTTCATTAAAAATTATAAACTTGTGTTTAATAAAGTAGCGATTGGTTTTGATTTTATTCTTATTAATTTTTTGGACATCCAAATAAATATTTTGTTATATGAAAAATTATTACAATCACATATTTCAAATCATCCTCCAATTACACCAACACTGTCTAAAAGTTTAAGTCCCAACTCTACAAATTATAACAAGAATCAGATGCTTAAAGTAGACAACTTTTTATGCGCATTTATTATGAGACAACACAACAATGACTAATTATCATCCTATGTCGGATAATTATCAACCTGCATAAAACCATCTAATGATTCGATATTGTCTTGTATACAAACTTTGCAAAATAGACAAATACGTATGTATAAAAACCACCTGCAATTTTTTTTACGTATGATTCAAGTCTGTGCAAAGGGGTTTGTAATCATAAACTCCTAAGTCGACCCACACCATCGAGTATCATGTAAGAGGCAAATCAGGTACACAACAACTCGTTAGGTAGTTGGTTTAAAATCCCACAACCCACAAATAGCTCAATCCCCAAAGGAACTGTAACTACCATAGTGCAACTGCCAGACTTGGGACATTTGTCGGTTTGTGCAAGTATACGAACTGAAACCAAATGTGCGACGCTCTTGGAGCAATTATGACAAGTTTTTCCCTTTTATACTTACAATAGAACGTTCAAAATTGTAACAATAATAAGGTAACGAACAAGTTAGCAGCAGCAAAGCCTTATAAGTTTGTCATCAAGGCGCGCTCTTTCGGCCTACATTATACAACTTAAAAATTATTCGTTGCGAAATCATACAACATATATGCAAACAAGAGACGCGAAGATCGGGCCCACACATCATCTCGTATCGTGTTGTTTATCCATTGATAAGCTTTCGGATTTCTCTTTTTCGGGTTTTGTAGATTGGTCATCTGATCTTCTTCCCCTATCCAAAGAATCAAACTTCTGGAATGAACTTTCTTTCGGTTTTGTGGATGATTGACCATCCGATTCATCCATAGACCCTTTTCGAGTGTGCTTTTGGGACTGATTTTTACCACGGTCTTTATTCATTAGCTGCAACTCATCGGCTTTTTCTTTCAAGAAGTTAAGTCCATTTGTAATCTTTGACATTGCTGAATTTGTTCCAGTTGTCTGCAAAGGATCAATACTAGATGAGATGAGACTAATCAAAGAGTAAAATAGTGAACTTTGGTCTACAAATGTATAATGTAAACCAAAGGGTAAAATAGTCATCTTCATCATTCAGATTGTCTATTCTGTATAATAACCGAACAATAATGTAACTAAATCTATATAGACAACTTCATCCATACAAGAAACTTTATCCATGCAGGACTTAATAAAAAACCAACCAAACAGCTCCTAACTAACACAAAAGGTTTAATGGGTTGGTCAAACTTTGACTTTTTGAGTGACTCAACTTTCGAATAAACTTTGACTTTTCGAGCGATTCAACTTTCGAATCAATCGTGCTTGATTTTTCGTTGCAAAGAAACAAAATGCAAAGAGAATACTAACAATTGATAAAGTGAAAGCATAGACTTTTGTTTTCATTTACATTTCCACAATGTGTCCAAAATCACTACAACGAGTATTTTTTTTGGTATTTTCACGAAAACAATTGTTTCTTTTTGGGAAACTCTGGGTATCCGGGCCTGCTTACTTGCATCGACTGGGTACCATGAAAGAGAGAATGAATTTTTGAACTACTTTTTGCTGCAAACTAATCATTGTTCTTGAAAAAAACCATAAATACACAATAGTTAACAAGAACGAGCATTTGGACAAAACGTGAAAACATAAGTACCAAAAGAACCTGCCCCTTTTGGACACAGATTTATAGCGTGATAGATATTCATGATGAATATCGTGAGAACCAACAATTCATGATGAATAATATTCATTATTAATATCTAGAATAATGAAAATGTATGATACTCATCATGCATAATATTAATGAATATTTAAATATATTTATCATGAATAATTAATGAATAGTTGGTTCTCACGGTTATCAAAATATTTACGGTCCCTAGATGAACTTTCCCCTACTAGAACAAGCTTTCAAAGGAAAAAATATGCATGTGTACATACCTCGGTCTTTGAGTTCAACCTTTTAGTTTTGTTTGAAGAAGATTTTTTCATATCTTTCTGATCTCTTGTTGAGTCAGACTGCTGACTGGGAGGTAACTTCGCAGAAACGGATTCATGTTTTTCATCGCTATCTTTGCTAGAATGCGAATCAAGCTGCTGGTGTGGAGGTAGTTTAGTAGAAAAAGAGTGAAATTGATGTTTGTCATTTCCGTCCTTGCTAGAGTGCGTATCCTGTTACAAACAAAAAACCATAAGTCATCTTTTGGGGTCAAGTGAGGTGATCTAGGAAGGAGGGGTACTTCCACCCCTTGTTGGATCCTTGTATCTGGTGCGACAATTAGGGTATGTTTGTTAGCAGCTTAATGAGCTTAATAGACTCACAGTTTATTCAGTCAGCTATACATGACAGTTCATAGTGGCTTAAGAATATAGAAAGTGGCTTATTCAGTAAAATTCTAGGGGGGATCTTTATGCAGAAAGCCAAGGTTTTTCCAAACCTGCCCTCCCAATTAAAAAACACGCTGCATCCATCTATGAAAAAACCCTCCAAACAAAAACTTCCCCAATCTATACAGACAAATTTATTCACACAGACAACTTTATCCATACAGGACTTGATGGAAAACCAACCAAACAACCCCGTAGACTGGGACCGGACATGACTGAGTGGGATAAAAATGCATTTTCCTGAATCAGGAAGATGAGACAAGCTTGGTAAATTACTAAACTACCCATGTCAAATTAAAACCCTAGAACCTTCCATGGTTCTTTCACCTGCCTACCTCACTCCGGTCTTGTCCTGTCATATATTGTCCCATCCACGTACCAGAAGCACCCTCAGGGAAACGACTTTTTGAGGTGCGACTTTGACCGTATCTCTATTTGTTGACCACGAATAGGAGAGTGTGGGAGGGACAACTCCGGATTTTCTTAGGAAGGAACATTCACCAAACTATAAAATTAGAGTTCATGGCTTAAAACTTAAGTATACCTGCGGGAGAGGAAGGAAACAATAACATATACTAATATGAACCCACCAAGTAAAACTAAACTTAGGATATGAATTAGTAAGTATGTGCTTATTATATACGTTAATATATGAATTATGAGATAATTTATCTATCTTACTGATTTCACTTTTGGTTAGTAAATATAAAATGCACTCAGTTATTTTCTATATAAGTTTGACAAATCCCATGTATCACCCACCCATAGGCTCATTTTCAATTGCTTTAGTGGATACTCCTAAAGAATAATGTGTGGTAGGATGAATAGTCACGATAGTTTTATTGTCAATACAAAACTCTGTTTATATCCAAATAAGAAATCAAGATGATAGTAGTATGTTACCTTACTCTCATGAGAAGTGGCTGTAGCCTCACGATAATCTTTTCGTGGTGGTTCAAGATCATTAAATTTCTGGTTAAAGCCGATGCCATCACTCTCTGCCTGGGAAAAATCATCCGAATCTGCCTTTATCTCTAGAACATCTAGAGTTCAATAATTTAGTGCATAACCAAAACTTGTAAACAATAGAGAATTGGGGTAACAGACCTTCTGATTGATAGGGATTGATGAAAATAGGGCCTGTTGTGATATCTTAATTCCCTCCTCAAGTTTTTCCCTCAACTCCATCTCCTTTCGCAGCTGTTCCTCTAATCTTGCCACCTACACATGCAATTGAAATACCAATGTGCCAAGATAATATATACTTCGATACAAAAATAGGTCTTGTTAACTTGTAGGGTCAGGTTCAGGGGAAACCACAAAAAATGAAAAACTGAGGAACATTATGGTAAACATTCATCTAGACAAGTAATTTGTAAGCAATTTGTCCGGTATGCACACGTGCATAGAAACCAAAAAACAACTTTAATTACTTGTTAAGTACATGTGCATATCATACTTCTAAAAATGGTTACCGGGGTGTTCCTCCCTCATAACTTGTATAACTAGAAGTGTAGTGTGCCAAAAAGTGCACTGAAAGAAATTAAATACCTGATACATAACCTATTTTAAGCTGAACTTTTTTTAGAAATTGATAATGTTTCATGTAGCAATAAGACAAGAAAATGAGTAGAGGATACGAAGGATGCAATCCATATCTTATACATACTTCTTGCTCGAGATGCAGACGGCGCGCCTCTAAAGCTTTCTTTTTGCTCAACAATTCCTCTTTTGAAACTGTGTTTCCTCTCTCCTGTAGTAGCCAGAATTAAATGTCATTTGTGGAAGTCAGCATTCCCTAGAGAATTCAGAATAAGGGATCACAATTTGCTGAAGAGGAAAAAAGAATGTGAAGTTGCTACCTCCGATTCAGTTTTCATTTTCAGTTCCTCTTTGGTGGCCTCAGGCTTTATGGCTTCAGCCCTGGTAAGAAATAAGGGGCTGACAGGTTAAGGTAAAACTAATCATAACAAAAATTTAAAGCCTTGAAAATGGAACGAACTCCAGAACAGGTTCCACAGTAAGATGCAACCAATCAAGATTAGAATGCATTAATGAAATGTCTGCTTCATAGAAAAACAATCATATTGAATAGCTTTAAGGGTGACCCTGGTGTATCAAGGTGCCTTGCCTTTGTGAGGATAGGGAAGGGAAGTCCCTTGCATGCTGACAACAAAAAAGGAGTACCCTTACATGTTGCTAAAAAAATGAACCTTTCTCACAAGTAGTTTGAATCAATTAAAATGATCAAAAGAATAAAACATATGTGCAAAGTAAAAATATTAAGAAGACAACATATTGGATTGATTTTCTGAGTGCTTACAAATATTCCCCAAGGTTAAGTTACGATTATGAAATATGCCTATGAATATCCTACAAATCTTTAAATCATAAAACCCTATTCTAACCTCAAAAATGTGATAAGAGGACAAAAGTTAAGAAAAAAGACAAACCATCAAAAGGATGAGAGACAACAAAACTAGGTTCAATCTTATAGTTACCTTCATTAATTTATGTCCAGTATGGTGACACGGTTTGGGGAGTAGTGAGTGGTAAAAGGATTTGGTCCTTGAAAGGGGTGAACATAACTTATAGTTGAGTGCTTTAAGTGCTATAAAGAACATGCTCCTGTTGTAAAACGTTGCAGCCTTAGAACGAATTATAAAAAACCCTGCATGCAAGCAGAGACGTTATATTGCCACTCCTAAAATAAACTTCAAAAATGAAGTTTACCAATTAAACAATTATCTTCGAAACTGCCCATGATTCAATACCTATGAAGTACGTGACCTCTTCTTGGTCCGAGATTCATACCTATGAAGTACAATGGGTCTCCCATCCATCCTAAGGAACTTACCCTATAACAATGGTCACATAATACGTCTGAAGAAAGGTCAGCTTATCTACTTTGTTACTATCCTGTAACATCATAAATCTCTACCTTCTTCTACGGTGTCAAACCAAAGTATTGGAAGAAGTCATTCTTTGATTCACCATCTCTAGAAAGGCTTATACATTTAAACCTTTGTAACTACCGTGCATTCTATATACTTGGACTACTTGATATGAACCTAATATTCTGCAGGGCTTCCCCATATCTCCAACTAACAATTTGCACCAGACATGGTCCTTAATAAACAGCATATATTCTGCAGAAATAGAAATTTGATGACAATGCTTGTTTAGTCCTAATGCAATCAGAAATCACCAACCTTAATGATATGTTATAAATACAATTACTACTTTGTACACGTGTAACAAGTAGATTTTAGCCTGAGTGCTTCACCTATCCAGCAGACTGTTGGTTGTCTAATAAATCAGCTTTTAGTTCAGATAAACTCAATATATTTACTCCTAAATGCTATGATATGTCTCCTAATCTTAGAGATGTTTATTTCGCCATACTCGAAACTAACTATATTATTTAAAAATTCCTAATGGTACCTACAGAGAAAAAAAAATTGAAAATAAATACAAACCCCCTCATATTTGCTTACAAAAGAGTATTATCAGATTTAGAATAACTTGAACAGAACCAATATATAACAATGCCCAAATGGTTACCCTTCTAGACTCTGTACAACATCCTGCTGTCAAGAAGATAGAGTATCAATCCTAAAAACACAGGGTATAGATCTACAAGATACTGTCAATTCTTAATAGCTTAATGCTGATAGATGAAGTGCCACTTACTCTTCTTCATCGACGTTTGATGATTTTTTCTGTGCCTGCACTCAAACAGAATAAGATCACTAGATATCCAAAATGGTAGTAGTTAATGTATTGAAAATATAAAGTTTGCATGTAGTGTGTGTCTGTTATAATACTCCTCATTCGGAGTTAAATCTAGGGCCAAATCCATCAAAATGCAAGAACTTGCCCTATTCCTATTTAGTGTAACAAAGAATTTTGTTTTTTCAATCAGTGTAAAGAAGTTCCAAAATTCCTATTCAATGTAACAAAGTTTCAAGATTTCCTATTTAAGGTAATAAAGTTTCAAAATTTCCTATTTTTACCCATTTTGACCAGTAACCTGCTCATTTTGTAACAATTCATGAATGGATGTCAAGTTTATCGTCCACTTCGCCTAAATCCTTTCTTAAACGGGTATCGATGTCATTAAATGTTACAAGATGTCAAAATGGGTACAAATAGAAAATTTTGAAACTGTTCACATCGATTGAGAAAAAAAAATTAGTTGTTACACTAAATATGAACTAAACCAAACTTTGTTGCATTTTTATTTATTTTTCCCTTAAATCTGAAAGTATACTTACACCAGTTTGTTGAGAAGTAGTTTGTAGCATGTTTGCAGTCCCATCTGCAGTAGTTGAAGATATCTGAATGTTATCAGTTGACTCTCTGCTAGTACTTGCTTGTACGTTGTCATCTTCAGAAATTTTAACATACTCAACTGCTTTTCTTGTTGAATGGTCATTACTCTGATTTGAAACATTATCACCAACTTGGCATACCGATCGACCCTTAGAACTTGATCGTAACTTTTTAACGGCCTCCACATCGCCAGTTACTTTGTGGGAAATGGACCGTGAGCTAAAGGTACCAGGTCCCTGCATTTTCAGATTTTTCTAGAAAATCAAGGGAAGATAAGATGGGTAGAAAAGTAGAGAGCCATGCACTTGTATTAATTTATTGAACAAAGGTAATATATAAGAGATATAACTGGATTCATGCTAGATACTCCTTCCGTCCCAACATAAATGTCCACAATGAAAAAGCCACATTTAGCAATTCTTATATTACACTTTTTAATTAACTAAATGACGATTTTGCCTGCCCTTAATAATAGATGGAGTAATGAATTTCACCATCTCCTAATAAAGGGTAAAATTGAAAGTGGGCACTTACTTATGAAAGTGCACAGTTATTTTGGGAAAAACTAAAATAGAAATTTGGACACTTAATTTGGGACTTAGGGCAATTTACAGAAACCAAGGTGCCAATTTGTATCAACACACAGGCCCTCCTTCGTAAGTACAAAGTTATCAATGAGTACCCTGGCTCAATACTATGTACATTGTTTGCATTACCATGGGAATGCATAGCCACTAGTGCTAGTACCAGCCATGAAAAGTTTCACGGTGATATTAACAGATTAAAAATAAAGCATCAAAATCTAGATCAACAGCAGAACATGAATACTACCAACGAACTTGATTTTAGAAAGAAAATGGCACCATTGTTCATCTTGAAACAATAGATTATGATCTAAGAGGTTCAGGGCAAAACCCCCAAAAAAATGAAAAACCGAGGAACACCGTGGCAATCATTCATTTGGACGGTATGCACATGTGCATACAAGTAACTGAAGCTGTTTCTTGGTTTTTATGCACTTGTGCATGTTATGCACATGTGCTAGAGGACAAATTACTTGTATGCACGTGTGCATACCATCCAGATGTACGGTTACTAGGGTGTTCCTCAGTTTTTCATTTTTTTGCGCATGATCTAATAGTATCCATTTTCTTGTGACTGTTTGGTGAGAGAAATATGAGTGTGATAAACTAGTGAAACTGGTACAACCATTAAATCAGAGATTGACAAGTGAAAGAATCCAACCTTCTTGTGGTTTCGAGCACTTTCACCTTGACTAGAGGTTGATACATGTTCAGAATCTTCATTTGCATCAGAACCCTCAGATGTATATTCACCATCCTCGTACTCATCATCTTCATAAAGTTCATCCTCGCTAAGCTCTTCACTCTCACTTCCAAGTTCTTCTGAGTCAGAGTATAAATCACTTAACATGTCTCCTTCCTGCAAATACATGTATTTTTCAGTTGATCTCAAAGCACAGGCAGAAGATGCTAACCAACTTGTGTCAGAACCTTGTAACATCAAATATCATGCTATATGCTCTAAACAGCAGGGTCGGGGTGGGCACAAGCTGGCCCGGACACCCACGGTTACCAAAAAAGGTTGTTTTATTTCTAATAATTTTTTTGAAAAAGCAGGTATGTGTGTATGTACATATATCAAAATAGTGAAATAGGAATAATTTATGTAGCTTCCAGTACTAAGTTGACCGACAGGAGTAAATAATAAAACCTTCCTTCAAGAGAGAGAGGTGGCAATCCCTTCAATTATTCTTTCCACTAGCTTTGAGGAGTCGGCAATAATCTTGATGAAGGAAAAAGTGATGAAAATACCAGATATATGTATATATATGTGTTAAATATGGGATATTACATATAAAATATGGACTTTAATATAGATTAAATTGACAAAAGAACTTGTTAACACTTGTACCATTTCAAGTTCATATTCCTACAATGTGTTGTTTTTTATTTCATATCCTTGCTCATTATTGACAAACTTACTAACATCAATCCATTTGTTCAGAACAACACATGTGTATTGTAAACTATACAGCAATTTATTTTCTTAAGAAATTTAGTACTAATAGAATCTGAATGCATAGTTTAGTGATAACCAATTTTTGCAGATCCTGCTATGCCATTATTGCGTGTCCTTCTGTTTCAAAATTTAAGAACTGTTAAGTCATGTATATGTATACTTGCAATTAGAGATGCATAATAGGACCAAAGCCCAAGACTGACCGGCCCGAAAAAACCCCGAGATAGATAATGCCTAGTTTGGGACCGGTTAGGGGCCCGCCAGTTTCGATAATTTGGCATAGGACCGGTTAATTTACAGAACTGTGACAGTCAAAGGGCCGTTTTTTCAAAAAAAAAAAACTTGCATTCTTTCACTATTTCGGTTACACACATGGTTACGAACATACATACATATAACATGTGTGAAGGTGTGTTACAATGTATTAAGGTGTGTTACTATGTGTTAAGGTTTTCATGGTTAATGTTTGTTAAGATTGCATTAAGGTGTGCTAAGATTGCAGGTTAAGATGTGTTAAGTTTTTCATGCTAATATATGTTAAAGTTGTGGGGTATGCTAACATATGTTCATGAATGTTTTAGGTTGTTATGGTATGTTAATGTATATTAAGGTTGAATATTTTATGTATGTCAAGACAGTTTCAGGTATCTTAACGTATTTCATGGGGGTTAATATACGTTAAGCTCGTGTCCAGCCTAGACCCTTTCTATCAAAGTTTAGTTTTATTTACGAAAATAGCACCACATCCATCCAAACCGTCGGATCTGGCACCCATTTCATCCAAGGACGATCAACATTATTACATATATAAAGAAACAAAAACAAAAAATGGAAGTCAAACCTCATCCAATAAGGACCAGACCGGACCGATGGTCTGATTCGGTTGGAGAACCATTTACGGTATGACCAGTCAGAAGAAGTGGGCCTTAGGCCCCTGACTGGTCATATGCCTGGTTAAGACCCAAATTTCTTCATCTCTACTTATGGTTGTTGACTAACCAAATATGCTTAACACATGAGTATAGGCATGGGAATGGGCCCCGACCCGTAGGGGAACCTGGTCCACCCGCCCCGGTCGGGGATGGGGACGGGGACGGGGATCCCCGTTTGTCTCAAACTGGGGATGGGGACGGGGATGGGTATGGTACTCCCCGCCCCGCCCCGTACCGTACCCGTTATATATATATCTTAATTAATAAATTATATATATATATATATATATTATTTATTTCAACTAAGTATTTCATAATTTTTATTTCCTAACTAGGTTTATAATCTAAATTGTTTTTTTTTATGTTAATATGTAATATTTTGGATGTCAAGTCAAAATACAATTACTCGATAAGTTTTGTATATTACTCGATATGATTTTCTATTACTCAATATCTTTTGGTACACGTAACTTTTAGTTTTTTTGGATTTAATTGAACTTTTTTGGTTTTAGGTTATTAGTTCTTTATATGATGTTGTGTTTTTTTTGTATTAAATTAAATTCATTTTTGTTTTAGGTTTATTGAAAATGTTTGAGATTTAAACATGTATGGTATCTCACATATTTAATTTAAAATAACTTATATAAACGAAAAAAAATCCTTGTTTCCCCGCTGAGGATCCCCGTTCCCCGTTGGGGATGGGGATGGGGATGTGATTATATTCCCCGATGGGGATGGGGACGGGGACGGGGATAGAGATAAGTAGTCGGGGACGGGGATTGAGGTCCCCGCCCCATCCCGCCCCATTCCCATGCCTACATGAGTACACTATAATAAAGAAGTGTCTCTCGAATAGAAAATCAACATACATTAAGAAATTAATATGGGCCTTTAAAACAAAATCAACATATCCTATCCCGAACTATAGCAAGAGCACATAATTGGAACTTCTTGAAAAAGGAGACCGCCAAAACCAAGCTACTACTATCGACAGATATTTCCATATATAAGTGTGAAAAAAGTATAACTAGAAGGAATAAGAAGAAAATATATAGAGCTTACTCCAAATATGTTATCGTATTCTTCTAGCAGGGTGATCACAATTGCTTGAGCATGGTTAGCAGCTGCAGCTGCTTGCATAAGTTGAGCAGATCCATCACCACCCATACTAAATTGACTTTCGAGATTACATTCACCAGCCAAAAGGGGCCGAAGAAGTAGTGGTGCCATGCAGGCTGCAACAGCTGAAACACTCATTCTGTTCACATTCTTGTTGTCAGCAACAGCTTCCATCATTATTAAAATTCTGTTAACAATAAAGTGAATGAATCAACGGAAGTACAAAGGAGACCAAAGAAACCGATGATTGGATATGGATGATAGTAAAAGGATGATTGGATCTACAAGAAAAAAGTGGAAACTAACAATCAACTACCTCTGTAATAAACGACGATTTGGTTCGGGGAATGTGTCACATATAGCTGCACGCATGGCGTTCACTCTGTTGGCTTGATCGGTTCCTGACCATAAATTGTCATTACTTAAGTTAACATAGAGCAATATGTAACATCAACTAAAATCAAGTAAATTATTATAAACTAATAGCAATGCTATTCATAACTCGGATAATAAAAGAAACATGACCAAAAACTGCACTTGGTTATGCAAGCTCCAGAGAGCCTAGTTTTTTTTTTTTTTTAACTATATAATATTTATATATGGAAAATAGAACAAATAAACTCACACACCCTCCTCACCTTTGGTGAGGTTTGAACCCTTGATCTCCTAGGAGACCAAGGACTCACATACCGCTAGGCCAAAGGCCCTTTCGTCAGAGAGCCTAGTTTCCAGGTACATGGAGAGAACTTTATCATATTAGAATATGCAACAAATTTCTAAGAAGGTAGCAGTTTCATCTGATGTGAGAAAGAGGTTAAGAGACACTATAAATACAAAGTTCAAATAGTATCTAATGTAAATCAATGAATTTTCAGAATGATTGTATGCACGAAAGTGTAGAAGAACCCGAGAATCTGGTACTCTACCATCATTTCACATGGTAATATACAATAATAACTGAAGGATGCCAAAAGGTTAAACTACCACACAGAAAGAAAGGATTCCAACATCATGACAAGGAAAATATTATGTTTCAAAGTTGTTAAAGGCTCAAGGCACACTTAGGCGCAGAGGGGTCCCGGGGCCTAGGCGCAAGGTACGGGCCTTAGGAATGCAAGGTTTATCTTACCAATATATATATATATATATATATATATATATGTATGTATACAGACACAGAGTTACACACAACTGAATTATGCAGCAAGTACAAGCCTCCAACGTAGCAACAACTACTTCGATAGAGGCAGAATGGAGAAGGGTTTAAAACATGAGCTGTGAGGGAGAAGTTTCTTAAGGTCTGGGTATTTATAGAGAAGGAGGCTTGAAGTTCTAAGGACCGGGAATATAATATTAGAGTTTGGCTTATGTCATCTATTTAATTAACTCTTTTTAAGAAGTCTAGGAGATGAAAAGATGAGAAAACTTATTAATGTTAGGGTTTGACTAGGTATTTAGTAACTCTTTATGAGGCGCAACTAGGCCCACAAGGCACCTCAGCCAAGGTGCAATGCCTTAGTGAGCCTTGTGAATACGCCTAGCCTCGACTTTAAAAAGCCCAAGACCTTGAGCCTTATGAGTGTTAGAGCCTAGGCGTGCCTGCTTTTAACAACTATGATTATGTTTTTGTCTGTTCTAGAAGTACACAACTTTCAAGAGTGAATAATTAAGCTACTTAAACAGATGTTGAGATTTGTTTGAGTTATGAATATATTCAACGAAATAGATACATAAGCTAGATATCATCCTCTAATTACAAGACCGAATATTCCCTTTGTTGTCAATTTGATCATCCAATTCATGCACTATCCTAAAAAGTTTATTTAGAAGCAGCTTACTGCATTCTAAGATATCCTCCAAGAAGGGGAGTTTTCTTTGAGAAGAAGGCTCAAAAAACTATCGAAGTATTTAGCGATGCACATTGGAATATTCAATCACCATAGAAGATCAGTTAGTGGATATTGCTCATTTGTATGTAGAAATCTAGTGATGTGGTGAACTAAAAAGCAAAAGGTACTGTGTTGCAGCAGTACAGAAACAGAGTCTGTGCTATGGCCAATGAAATATGTGAAGCACTTTGGCTTAGACGATTATTGGAGGAGCTACAGTTAAGTTACCATTGGACGGTCCTATGAATAGGGCTGTAAACGAACCTAACGAACATGAACAAAGGCTTGTTCATGTTCGTTCGTTTAACTTCACCGAACAAACGAATGAACACGAACAGTAAACGAACGAAAATCTTTGTGTTCGTGTCATTCGTTTAAAAATCAAGTGTGTTCGTGTTCGTTTATGTTCGTTTGTTAACATGCTAAACGAACGTAAACGAACTGGTTAAACAAACGTAAACGAACAGGCTTAAACGAACAGGCTTAAACGAACACCATTACTTGTCATTCAATTAACTATTACACACCAATTATCTAGAGGCTAGGGTTTTGGGTGGAAAGTGAAAAGGTAAAAATTTCAAATAGGACGAAATGATGATAAAATTTAAATCTAAATAAATTTTAAAAAGTTAAACTTATATAAATACTATTTGAATTCAAACTAAATAAATAAAAGATTATATATTAAATTTAATATATAAACGAACATAAATGAACGAATGTAAACGAACGTAAATGAGTGAACTTTCACGAACATAAATGAACGAAGGAGACTCTTGTTCATGTTCGTTCCTTTAACTAAACGAACAAAAAAAATTGTTCATGTTCGTTCATTTATTAAATAAACGAACTTCCCGCCGAACGGTTCGCTGAACATTCGATTCGTTTACAGCCCTACCTATGAAACTATACTTGTGATAACGTGGCTGCCATAAGCATTGCTAATAGACCCGTGTAGGTGCTTTTGGCCTAGCGTTACCTGGTAACCCAACCTTCTTAGAGGTGGAGTCAAGCCTTGCCAAAGGCAAGGAGTGTTTGGGAGTTTAAAATTAGCCATATATATACACACACACACACACACATATATAGGAGTTTGTTTCAAATGCAACCCATCACATTTGTACAACCAATGCAACCCAATAAATTGAAATATTTATGGAAATGATGAGAGTTCATTTATTATGATTTAAATATTTATGGAAGATGAATAAGGTTCATTAATTATGACCAATACTTTATATTAGGAAACAATCAAAACTTCTATGAAATTACATATTCATCAAATTAAATGGACGGTTGAGATTGAGTGGTTGTACAAATGTAAGAGGTTGCATAATAACCCACCTCCATATATATATATATATATATATATATATCATGTACTTTAAAAATAATAATAATAATCCTGTGCAACATGACGAAACTAAACACGTGGAAATTGACCAATACTTCATCAAATAAAAGCTAGAAATGGAATGATATGCATGTTGAATGTTCATCCTTACGAAAGAATTGTTCAATCCAAGCTTCTATGCAATCATTAGCAAGTTGGGTCTTGGAAATAATTATAACTCCAGTTGAGGGGGAGTGTTAGTTTAGATAACATAGTTGTAAATTCATACTTAAACTAGAATAATAACGTATTGTAAATTAGCAAGGTTAACATTCCTCTTTTTAGAGATTAGTATGCTATCAATCAATAAGGAAACAACTTAAATATTTAAACTCCACATTGTAGATTTCTAATTAAGTGAGAAAATGTTTTGATTTCTCAAAATCACATAACCCTTTGTGGCGGCAAGCTAGAGGAGCTCTATGCCTTAGATAAATCCCAAACTTGGGAATATTGCATCTAAATTGTATACAAAGTTGAAGATTTTCTGGAGCTATCAATAATTGCATCATAGATCTCACGGATCCTGTCAATTAAGGGTGTTATCCCTCATTTCCAGCTTTCTATTTTTAGAGTTTTTCTCTATCCTTTCTTTAGTTGAAAGGATTCTCCTTTTGTATTAAATAGTCTTGCTTTGTGTTTTATAATCAATAGAAAATATATGAAAAGCCTTTAAGGCTCAACTTTGTTTGGTTTCTAGATGGTATCAGAGCGTGGTTTCTGATCATCACCTTTCATGGAAAACCTTTCCTTTAACTTCAGTAGATACCAAACGGCTCTGGTTAGCGAGTCCACTAGCTCCACCACCGACCAAAACAAATCCAACAACCCTCCTCCACAGGTTCAACAAATTGTTGCTCCAAATATCTTTCCCATCACTGGTCACAAGCTAAACGGCCAAAATTTCAGCTTGTGGTCACATTCCATCCAGATCTTCATTGGCGGCAAGGGAAAAGAAGACTATCTCTCGGGGAAAAGCGTGTCACCCGAAGAAGGAGACCCCACTTACAAACAATGGAAAACCGAGAACAACCTCGTAATGTTGTGGCTTCTCAGCTCCATGACGGCTGAAATCGAAGAGCAATTCATCTGCTACAAAACCATCGCTGAAATCTGGGAAGCAGCAAGGGACACCTTTTCTAATAGAGATAATACCTCTTATATTCTCCAAACCGAAAAGGGTATAAGTGCTACTCTCCATCCACAAAGTATACAACAGCTATAGGTCATTTCTTATCTATAGGGGTCATGAAGTGAATGTTCTAAGACACGCACAGAAACAAGACGAGAGAAGAACCAAAAGGAAAATGCGAAAAACATCGGTGACATGAAATGAAACCTAAGTTTGCTGGTGTGGTTGCCAAAGGTAACTTACAAGTTTCAAGACAATGAGAATAATAGCATCTATATTTTTTCATTATTAACTTATGCTTTATTGTCATTTTAAGACTCCTGCATAGGGTTGTATAAGTTATGTTGCTTAGTGAACTAATGAACGAGCATATGCATTTGTCAAAGATAAGTTATCTCAAGAAATGGTGTCATGGGTACTTATTACATTCTAAAATGTCATGGCAAACTTACGATATGCGTCTAGCAAAGCATTGCAACAAGATGCTGGAATTGGGGGTGATGGTAACTCCCGAAGAACATACTGAAACATAATGTCATAAAAAAAGCAATAATCAAAATTCAACGAAGTAAAAATGGGGGAAGGAAGACTTCTTATAGCAACCAACTTTTTAAATTGTTCCAGTTTGGTCACTCAATAACTTTTTGTCCTTGGTGAGTCTTTAGACATTCACTTTTTTTCCAATGTTGTGACAAATGAAGTTAGATGGACATAATAACCCTGATTGAAAAATGTTGTAGTCAAAACATAAAAAGGTAAAAAAAAAAATTAGCGGGTTCAAATGTAAAAAAAAAGACTTTGATTGAAAAAGGGTGCACAGGCCGACTGGAAGGGGGATCGTCGTCATCGGCATCATCCCAAAGGGGGAGGAGGGGGATGGTGCAGGAGGTGTTGCTAGGAAGAGGGTCGTCGCAAGGGGAGATGTTGGGAAAGGCATCGTTGGAGAGGGAGGGACTCAGGGAGGACAGTCGCCTGAAGTTGAATACATAGGCATATGAGAGTTGATCCCTACTCAGTGTTTGAAGTTGACTTAAGGTCCAAGAATGGATTTAAGATTAGCAACATTAACTTGAATCATGCAATAGAAGTTTCGAAGAACCTTCTGAAACTACATAGGCATATAGGTTCTCCGCACGACATAACAACCACAAACGTTGTTCTTCTCACTCTCTGAAATGAGTGTTTTTTCTCTACTTAATAGTTTAAGCTTTGAAGTTCAAACCTTCTGGAATATGATATTCGGTTCTTATTACTTTATAGCTTTGATTTGTGCACACTTGCACAACTGTATTGCTTATTTTGTGCTAACAAACATCTTTGAGCACAAATCTCACAACATTCGAGTTGTACAAGTTGTCTGGTACATGTCTTGTTGCATGAACTTCAAATTTCAATTTCAAAATTCAGCCAAGTTCTGGAAATTTGAAACATTGAGACAAAACATTGAAATATTTGACTTCAAATTGTCACAACATTGAGACAAAATTATAAAGTTTAAGGTATCATCTAGGACAAATTTATTTAAGTGATCAAAATGGACAATTGGAAAAGTTTGTTTCTATTTAATGCATTTTGCCTTAAGTATATACGGCAGTGTACTTATATGACATACCTTGATACAGTCTCCTATAACATGTGCATCCTCTTCTGCGGTAAACTCCACCTTCCCTGTACCCAATCATAAAATTTTCCGTTATGTGAACTTTCAAACAGACGAGGCTTCCTAAGTTATACAATCATGAACCACATTGCAAGCATATATTTCAATTTATGTATAATAACTCAACTCTTTAAATAGGAAAAAAAAAAGATCAAACAAGTGAAACGGAATCCAGGTTCTTGCATGTGACTTGCTTATTATAACTAGTCCATGCTACATTTAGGTTGTAATTGTGTCTAATTTTCATAGAAGTGTGTTGGTGATTTTAGTGTCATCTAGCCATTTGGTGTAGTCAAGATTAATGTGAGACAAAATGAGTTTAGTATTGGCTACAATTCGTTCGGAGGTGTGGAGCTCACACTTGGATAAGCTAATATGAACTCAGGAATACGGGGTCAAGGCAATGTTGAACCATTGCATCATTTATTTCCAAGTGAAATGAATCGTCACATCTTTTCCTAACAGATGCGACTTTTCCCAACAGATGCAACCTTTCCCTCCTTAATTAACTAACACCTTTTAGTTAATTAACTGAATTAACTACCAATTTTAGTTAATTAACCGAATTAACTACCTTTTGGTTAGTTAACCGAATTAACTACCATTTTTAGTTAATTAACCAAATTAACTACTTTTTGGTTAGTTAACTGGATTAACTACCTTTTGGTTAGTTAACCGAATTAACTAACACCTTTCCGAAAAGGTGTGTCTTTTGGTATTCTATATATACCATGTTCCATATTTGCTAAAGACACACGAAAAACATACATTGGTTTTTCTCTGTCAAATTTGTCTCTACAAACATAATCTATAACAAGGTATTATGTGTTTTACTAATCTTGGATTTGCCTGAAATCCGGATTGAATTATTGGATTATCCCAAAAATCTGAATTCGTGTAACCCTAGGGTATACGGTCGAATTACAGATTTCTGGAAAGTGTTCCATACACGATCCAATTAATTATCCAAGTTTATTGATATTCTGAATCCCTAGAAATCTAACATTCAGAATCTGTAATTTTGAAGGAATATCAATGGCTGCAGAATCTGTTAAAGACATGAGTTCCAAGTTTGGCAAACTGGAAAAGTTTGAAGGGAATGATTTCAGGTGTTGGCAGAAGAAAATGCACTTTCTATTTACATCTCTGAAAATTGTTTATGTTCTAAGTTCCCCTGCACCAGAATTCCATGAAGATGAAACGCTGGAGACAACTAGGTGCCGAAGCAAATGAGAGAACGATCACTATATCTGCCGAGGACACATCTTAAACGGTCTGGCTGACTCCTTATTTGATATTTATCAAAACAGTGAATCTGCAAGAGACTTATGGGATGCTCTAGAATCCAAATACATGGCAGAAGATGCCTCGAGCAAGAAATTTCTTGTAAGTAATTTCAATAACTACAAGATGGTGGATTCTAGACCTGTGATGGAACAATATAATGAACTTCTCAGAATATTGGGACAATTTGAACAACATAAAATGCAAATGGATGAATCCATTGTTGTATCAAGTGTGATTGACAAATTACCCCCTTCATGGAAGGATTTCAAACATATGCTTAAACACAAAAAGGAAGAGTTGTCTCTTGTACAACTTGGCAGCCATCATCATATTGAAGAATCTTTACGAGTACAAGAAAGTGGCAAAGAAAAGGAAAAGGAACTTCCTGGTCCATCATCTGTCAATATGGTGGAAGAAGGGAAAAACCAGAAAGGAAAGAAACGGAAAAGAGATGACCACAAAAAGGGATACCACAAGAAAGCAAGACTGGTATGTTGGAAATGTAACAAAGCGGGTCACATGAAGCGTGACTGTCGTGTAGGAAGAGGAAAGAATGAAGCAAGTACCTCTAGACAAGGATCTCAAGGTCAAGGTCCAAAACCTCATGAAGGTATGAACTTTAACTATGATACAAGTTCTGTTATATGCTACGTACCATTAATACCCGAGGCATTTTACATACAGAATGATAATTATGCATGGTGGATAGACTCGGGGGCAACGAGTCATGTATGTAAGGATTGCCATTGGTTTAACAACTATGAAGGGGTAGAAGATGGTTCGGTGCTCTACATGGGAGACCATGTAAGTACTCCGATTGTTGGTCGTGGTTCTGTGTCCTTAGTGTTTAGTTCCGGAAATACTCTTAATCTTAGGAATGTAATACATGTTCCTAATATTAGGAAAAACTTAGTTTCTGGTGGCGTATTAAATAAATGTGGTTATAAGCAAGTTATTGAGTCGGATAAGTATATCTTTTCCAAGTGTGGTACATTTGTGGGATTTGGCTATTACTGTAATGGGATGTTCATGTTTAAATGTAAATAATAAAAGTATTACAAATTCCGTGTATATGACATGTTCAAAAACTATTACTTCTTCTCTTTGGCATGCACGTTTAAGACGTTCATTATAAACGAATGCTTGACATGTCTAAAAATGGCTTAATTCCACCTTTTGACATTAACTAGAGAAGTGTAGAACATGCATGTTAACTAAGATAACTAGACAACCTTTTCCTAATGTAAAAAGAAATTCTGTAGTGCTTGAATTAATACATAGTGACTTGTGTGATTTGCATGCAACTCCATCCTTAGGAAATAAGAAATATTTTGTCACTTTTATAGATGACAACACTCGTTTCTGTTATGTTTACTTACTACATTCTAAGGATGAAGCCCTAGATAAATTTAAAATTTACAAAACAGAAGTTGAGTTGCAACAAAATGGCTTAATCAAAAGATTAAGAACCGATAAAGGTGGTGAGTATTATGACCCTACTTATTTCCAATCCGTAAGAATCATACATGAAACTATGGCTCCGTATACCCCTCAACAAAATGGTATATCGGAAAAGAAAAACAGAATTCTCAAGGAAATGGTTAATTTCATGTTATCATATTCAGGACTAAGTGATGGATTTTGAGGAGAAGCCATGTTAACGGCTTGCTATTTATTAAATAGGGTTCCAAACAAAAGGAACAAAACAACCCCTTATGAACTTTGGTATAAAAAGAAACCAAATTTAAATTATTTAAAAAATTTGGGGATGTTGAGCAATTGTAAGACTAACTAAACCCAGAATGAAAAATCTGGGTGAAAGAGATATTAATTGCATCTTTATTGGATATGCTGAGCATTCCAAAGCTTATAGGTTCTTTGTTTTAGAACCTAACAGCTATGTCTCAGTTAATTCTGTTATAGAATCTAGAGATGCCATATTTGATGAAACTCGGTTTACATCAATATCTAGACCAAAGGACATGACTCCTACTTTAAGTGGAACTAATAAAGAGAAGGAAGCCACCCCTAGTACGAGTGAATCACTAGAGCTTCAAAGAAGCAAAAAAGAAAGAAAGGCTAAATCCTTTGGTCTTGATTTTCAATTATATTTGGTTGAGGGTTCTAGATATGAAATAGTCTATCAATACAATTATTGTTTCAGTATTGAAGAAGATCCTAAAACATTTAATGAGGCAATGAGATCTCAAGACGTTGCCTTCTGGAAAGGAGCAATTAATGATGAAATGGATTCCATCATAGGAAATAATACATGGATCCTGTCTAATCTTCCCCCAGGTTGCGAACCATTAGGTTGCAAGTGGATTTTCAAAAGGAAAATGAAAGTGGACGGATCAATAGACAAATTTAAGGCTCGTTTGGTCATTCAAGGTTATAGACAAAAACCTGGAATTGACTACTTCGATACCTATGCACCAGTCGCTCGTATTTCGATGATTAGATTGTTAACTGCTCTAGCTGCAATTCATAATCTAGTAATTCGCCAAATGGATGTTAAAACTGCCTTCTTGAATGGTGATTTAGACGAAGAGGTATACATGAAACAACCTGAAGGTTTCATTATTCCTGGAAATGAGCACAAAGTGTGCAAGTTGCTTAAGTCTTTGTATGGGCTAAAACAAGCACCTAAACAGTGGCATCAAAAATTTGATGATGTTGTCTTATCAAATGGTTTTAAGTTAAACCAGGCAAACAAATGTGTATATAGTAAGTTTGATAAATCTGGTCAAGGTGTAATCATTTGTCTATATGTAGATGACATGTTAATTTTTGGAACAGACCAAAAACAAGTTGATATGACTAAGGAGTTCTTGTCTTCCAAATTCTCTATGAAGGATATGGGGGAGGCTGAAGTGATACTTGGAATCAGAATTAAGCATGAACACCAACGAATTTCTATCTCACGATCTCATTATATTGAGAAAGTACTAAGGAAATTTAATGGTTCAAATTGTTCCGCGGTTAGCACTCCTATGGATCCGAGTATGAAACTTATGCCCAATACAGGTCAAGCGGTTTCACAGCTCGAGTATTCAAAAGTCATTGGATGTTTAATGTATGCAATGACTAGTACTAGGCCAGACATTGCATTTGCTGTAGGAAAATTAAGTAGATTTACAAGTAATCCCAGTACTCATCACTGGCAAGCTATAAGGCGGGTGCTAAAATATTTAACGAAAACCAAGGACTATGGTTTGTCATATATGAGATTTCCTTCGATTATTGATGGGTACTCTGATGCAAGTTGGATTACCAATTTTGAAGATCACTCCTTCACAAGTGGATGGGTGTTCACTTGGAGGAGGAGATATTTCTTGGGCCTCTAAAAAGCAAACTTGCATCACAAATTCAACAATGGAATCTGAATTTGTAGCTCTATCTGCTGCTGGGAAAGAGGCAGAATGGCTAAGAAATCTTATCTATGAGATTCCTTTGTGGTCAAAACCAATCTCACCCATTTCTGTACACTGTGATAGTGCTGCCACTTTGGCAAAAGCAAATAGTCAAGTGTATAATGGAAAGTCGTGACATTTGGGTGTTAGACATAGTATGGTACGTGAGCTGATCACTCATGGGATTATCTCTGTTGTATTTGTTCGATCACAACAGAATCTAGCTGATCACTTGACTACAGGATTAGCTAGGGACTTGGTAAATAAGTCAGCTATAGGGATGGGTTTAAGACCCATTTGATATCTCTAAGGTGAGATACCCAATTCCTTTCTAATACAATATTAGGAGTTGAATTCAATGTGGAAAGCTTACTTTTGGAGATTGAAGCACATCGTCTACATCATCCCAAGGTATGTGTATAGTCCACAGACTAGAGTTAGATTGAATATATTTCTTAATGGTTCTTTTGAAAAAGTGCATTTGCAGGTGCATAAAGTAAAAGGGCTACCTATGTGAGTGTGAAGTGTCGCCGCTTCCGAAAGCTTGGGCTTGGCTTTTTATGCACTCATGAATGGATAGGACACATGACTTAGTAATAGTGTCAAGTGTAAACACTAGATTTTGTGTATTAACTTATGTGTATAATATCTTCAATTACTCAAATAAGTTGATGGGTTCAAGCCTTGGGACACCCTGATTCTCGAGTATTTGGAACTTATATTATACTAATGTGGAAATTCAATCTTCTAGATATTTTCATTTATGTATGATTTTGATTTTATGTTTGAACTTTTAGTTAATAAAGGATTACACTAAAATGGGGGAGGAATGTTGGTGATTTTAGTGTCATCTAGCCATTTGGTGTAGTCAAGATTAATGTGAGACAAAATGAGTTTAGTATTGGCTACAATTCGAGTTCGGAGGTGTGGAGCGCACACTTGGATAAGCTAATATGAACTCGAGAATACGGGGTCAAGGCAATGTTGAACCATTGCATCATTTATTTCCAAGTGAAATGAACCGTCACATCTTTTCCTAACAGATGCGACTTTTCCCAACAGATGCAACCTTTCCCTCCTTAATTAACTAACACCTTTTAATTAATTAACCGAACTAACTACCAATTTTAGTTAATTAACCAAATTAACTACCTTTTGGTTAGTTAACCAAATTAACTACCATTTTTAGTTAATTAACCGAATTAACTACCTTTTGGTTAGTTAACCGAATTAACCAACACCTTTCCAAAAAGGTGTGTCTTTTGGTATTCTATATATACCATGTTCCATATTTGCTAAAGACATACAAAAAACATACATTGGTTTTTCTCTGTCAAATTTGTCTCTACAAACATAATCTATAACAAAGTATTATGTGTTTTACTAATCCTGGATTTGCGTGAAATCCGGATTGAATTATTGGATTATCCCAAATCTAAATTCGTGTAACCCCAGATTATAAGGTCGAATTACAGATTCTGGAAAGTATTCCATACACGATCCAATTAATTAACCAAGTTTATTGATATTCTGAGTCCCTAGAAATCTAACAAAGTGTAGTATAACAAGTGCATATAATATCGAGGGAAACAAATGGAAGTCCAGGGACTGAATGGTATCCAGAAAGTTCAGGGACAACTTGTAGATGTGATGTATGATTTCATCCCCACAATTCCTTTGTCCAGTTCAACCATCAAGTTGTCTGGTTCAGTTTAGTTCCCCCGTGTGTGCACAGGTCAGCCATTCAGTCTACTTTTGGTGGGGGGTCGAAAGATACAGGCGAAATTAGTCGAATGTTATTTGAATTTCATTCAATGTTCATTTGTATAAGAATCGATGTGATCCCAAAGATTGAATTGAGCATTCATTGTTCCAGAAATTGCTATTTAGGATTTAATCTTCTAGATAAAATTAAGATGATGCACAATGTATTCACTTGAATACATCAAGGTTTGAATTTTTGTGATTTTTTGGGTTGCATAACTGCCACATACTTGACATTCTTACTATCCAAGTACCAGTCTTAGCTTAGTAAGGTTGCTTGTTTCCGTTCATTTAAGATTCTATCTAAAAAAGAAGGTCAACAGGGTACTAAAATGGCTCTCACTGAGATAATCTTCATTTTTAAGCCGCCATTTGGTTCGCCTGAAGCCTTAAAGACGGAGGAAGGCAGGAGCAGTAATCTATGGGCGAGTACTCAGGGCCATCTCTAGGCAAGGGCAGGACAGACACTTGCCCATGGCCCAACAAAAATAGGGGTCCCATTTTTTTTATTAGTCGTATTTATATAAAACTTAATTGATTAAAAGTTCCATGACCCTTCACTGATTCTCCTTCCTAGGAAGCCAAAGTGTGTCCATATATTTTTTTCTTCCATCTCAACGTCAATTGCTACAGTATCATAGAAAATTTTACATACTTTTTGAACACAGAAAAATGGGCTTCTTGACCATAATACATTAAATTATGGATTGTCCAGTCTTCCTCTTGACTCTCGTGGAACAATTGCGGTCATGATGGTGAATGGTGCTACACTCGTAGTGATGAATACTGTATCTTATGATCACTTTATGTACTAAATATTATATATTTGTATATTACTTTGTGTTTCTAATCTGATTTGATTGTAAGGTTCAACTTGATGTATTAGTGGCTTCTTCTTGTTGGATATTTTCCGTGAACAGTTCTCCTAGAGGTTATTTTCATTTATATCCGGAACTAGTCACTTGCTTGGCAAAATGTTACTTCTTTTCTAACAATTTGTTTGGTTATGTCAGGACCTCTTTCCGTTAACTATTTGACTCCAGAAGGTCAAAAAATTCCCATGTTTTGGGGTATTTCACAATCCACAAGCGTTCATTTCAATTTCCAGTTTGTATGAGAAGGGTGGGATTGGGGGATTGTAATCTAAACTTGCAGAGAGAAAAGAAGAGGCCTTAACAGCTAGGATATCACATTGGTCTTTACACAAACTTCAATTTTGATCTTAAAGCGGGTCTAGACTAATCAATGTCTCAAAGTATGTAACCTTTTTGGATTATCAACTGGGAATAAACTATTTTAGAAAATCGAGGTTTTAGAACCTTTGGATTCAAATGCTTATGCTGTCTAGTGTCTACTGTTACTGCATTCCCAACCCTCAAAATAACACAACAAAATAGAGTTGTTCTATTGCAAATCATATATTCTACCATGTGCAAGTTACTACAGAGTTTCTGTTCCATTTGCTACTGATAGGTCCATATTCATATTCTAACAGATTCATATGCATTTGTTAACAGCTCCATATACATATACATATACATATACATATACATATACATATACATATACATATACATATACATATACATATACATATACATATACATATANCATATACATATACATATACATATACATATACATATACATATACATGTGTTGTTAACGATGTACTGAAAATGGAATATATGAATTAACATATGCTACTTGTTGATATGTTTATATGTTGAATCATGAAATATATTCATACTAATACAATATGCTATGTATTAACATATAAAATAGGAGAGTACTTTTTAGTATTTTTGGTATTGAATTTTATTTTTGATGATGAAAAGCATCGGTTTTAAGATTTTTTTATCATAACTTGTAAGGGCCTTTTCTGTGTAAAATTACAGGCCTACGAGCACTCTTTGAATTTGATTTGTGAATTTGGATGATAATTGGACAAAAATGATGTAACTGACATGGTTGTGAGAATATAAATAAAATATTGATAGTTCTTTTTAAGCAATTTAAAAAACACTATAGATAATCACCGTTTTATCTATTTTAGCCCTTAGATTGTATAAACAACAAAATCAGAATTTTGATACAACTAACTCACCCTGCTCGTATTCTCGGATACGGTGCTCAACATCTTCTACGTCTGCAGCCTGCCTCAAGATGCCTTCTACTTTCACTCCTGGGACATTCAAAGAAAAATAACTATAACTAAATGCAACTGCATGAACATGGACTAATTGACCGTCTTGCAAAGTCTAGTGCTCTTTTTGCATTTACGCAAGAACGATGGCATTTTGCAACCAAATGCCAACTGCAATTTTAATAGTTAACCATTCCAAAACTAATGAAGTTTGCATCTTACCATGATCTTCAACATATCTAAGGGCTTTCTCCAAGAAAGAAGGAGTTCCATCTATATCTTCCAATGCAAGTAAGATTGGACGACCAAGGACCATTGATTTTGGCGGGGATCGGTCTTTTGCTGTTGGAAGAAGACAAGCAAGCCAAAGAGATGTATTAGTGTCTATGAGCGTGTTTGTAATTACAAGAACAGGCAAATCACACACAATAGAAAAACAATAAAAATGTATGAACAAATAGTTCTTCTGCATATTGTTCTTACGCTGTTCTGAAGAACCATCAGCTGTATCACCCTTCTCATTTTTCACTGTTCCACTTTGCGCCGCCATCGGGGAAATGCTTGGTGCATTTGCCAAAGCTTCATCCAGTGCAGCCTTCCACTCATTTAAATCCTCTGTAGTTTCAGCCTGCAATAATAAAAGCCGATGAGCAGTAGTAGCTAGGAACAAACAGCCCATCAGTTCCTTCGAGGAAAAAACTGTCTTATTACCTGTAATTAATTGTTAAATTATCCTAGATGACAAAATGTGACACATAGTGCTTTTCATTTGATGCAACTCTTTAGCAGGTAATCTGTACGCATACAGTTTTTGAATGGTCTTTAGAGTGTAAAATTCAATCTATTACACACCCATTTAGAGAGAAAAGAAAACACACATTCTTTTCAAATCACCATCTTTCCTTACCTTTTCAGGCATTAATATAGATATTGTCTACACCTCATGTGTACAAATTTTACAATAAGCTTAATACTGTTATGAAATATATATACATTATATAATGTATATATTATTTTTCTGGCCAGCAGATTGAACGACGGGGTATGCAGCTAACACAAAACAGAACAAGAATAATTGCTACTATTTTGAAGAAACTATTATAGGGACAAATACTACTCTAACCAACTACAACTAACAATCTGGTAAATAGACTTAAATGCCCTTAAAAACTCTAGGTAAAATGTCATAGAAACTTTATAAAATAGCACCTTAAGAGTAAAAGTTCTCCCTTCACGACCATTTGGGAATAGCACCGTCAAGAGTTTCTTATCTGCTTTAACAACCACACTGAAATTCAGAGAAAGCGATCACTAGTAAGTGAAGAAGTAGCAAACATCAGGATAGTAACTGCACAAGACAAATAATGTAAAAGATTATATGAATTAAAGAAAGAAAGCCAACCTGCCCGAACTGTTGAGGTCTATGCCACCAAGGGTTAGATTCGCCTCACCTCCCCTTTGAGGAGCAGCATTCTGATACTTGGGTAAATAAAGCTATGAATGAGCCTTCAATATTTTGAGATGCAACAACCATATACTTAAAAAGAGAGGACTATTTCCTTAGGGAACTAAAGTGAAAGTTTTCTCACAGACAAAACAAATGAGAACTACAAATCAATTTAGCCCAAACATAGATTTACAAAGTTATATCGGCATAATTAATGCATTGTCAATCCAAGATACATCTTTCCTCATCTCAAAACCACCAGAAAGAAGCATACAGATGATCATTTATGAAGAGAACTCAAAACATTGTGCTATTGCTTGGGTAAAGGACATGTTAAAAAATAAACCATTACTTCCAAATTACAGATTAGGAACATCTTTTAATACATCACCAAAGGGTGAGGAAATTTTAGAAAGCATTAAAAAACTGGGAATTATATTTTTTTAAAGAACAAGGCAAGTGCGAGTGCAAGTATTAAAAGCGTCAACATTGAATTTGGATTTGAAACATGCTATCTTAGTGGCGTTTAACAAGAAAGTTAAGTGAAGGACGAGTGGTTCGAGTCAGCATTCTGCATAGACAACTCTTTTGTTTTATAATATAAAGAGCATTACTTCCTTTACCAGAAGGAAAATTTTCAAACTGCAAGCGAAAGAGGGTGATCATTGAAAGAACAATCAGACAGCAGCAACAAGCAAAACCTATGTTTCACCACATTATTACAGTACAGACAGCCATTTAATTGTCCAGTCATTTTATTTTGTTTCGAAGGTAAATTTCATTTAACCATTTTGTCCTTGACAATTCAATAGCTGAGAAATCAGCAGGACTGCTCCAGCTAGATAACTTATTATATAAAACTAGATTGGTTACTTAGACTTAGTTGAGGACATGTTTAGTCTAAAATGGTTCAGTGAAATTTGTACGGTAAGCTATAAAGCCGACTCAGCTGATACCTAATAGGAATAAGCAGGCATAAGTCTTAGGATGCGAACATACTTTAACTTATAGCTTCCAGTTAGAATTGTACTTAGGACATCAATAAATCTTTTCCCAGGGTATTATTAATTCAAATTAATGGCTTTACTATCAAACAATTCATTACCTACATTTGTACAATATAATTTTTTATTAAGGTTGAGCATCAATGCAATAAGGCAGTTCAAAGGAGAGTTGGACAGAATAGTAAGTATTTTAGCTGGTAGGAGTACCAATATTTTCTTATATCCTTCCTTTTGGCAGCCAGGATATACTGTAACCGAGTATGGAGTTCTAACACATAAACCAGTTGCAGATTTTCTATCATATATGGTACAGGTGAACTGTCGCCAACTAGACAAGCTGACCTAAATATTTGAACATCAGAAGAACTAGAGATATTTCTAGTGATCAGAATCAGATCATATTTTCATTGTGTCGACAGGTGTGTAATCTGCATATAGGATAGAAAGACAACAATATGGTGGTTTATGACGTAGCAAACATACAGAAGCTTTTGAACCCATATGGCACAAGGTCAAGTTTGGTTTCTTTTTCATGGAATAGTAATAGAATATAACAGCCCATAAGGCTTGATGCATGCACTTCTATATCCTAGCCTGGGACAAGCTATTTAAGCGATAATCAAAATGCAGAACAAGACATCCACATAAAATATGCAACTTACTGGATCACTTCGGAAGAAAACCAATGAGGTTTGTGTCAGAACAAACCACCTTTTCTTCCAAGAGGTCCAGCCAATTCCTGCATAAGGAAGTGTAATTTAGGGACTTACGAGAGAGTATAATGTGCCCTCAGAATGATGAACAATTGGCAGTCAAAAAATGTTGCCGTCATAATCACATGCATGCTTCATGCATACACTATACTATTGATGCTAAAATGATCTAAGATTAAAGACTCGTAAAAGTAATGTTTATGATAAAGAATAAATGTAAGCTAATCAAAGATGACACAATACAGCAGAAGTGTGTCTCTTTTAAATTTCAATTTATGATATATTTCTTATATAGTCAATTATGTACATGTCGCTTCATTGTTTGAGTAAGAAAATGGAATAACTGCTGCATAATAAGTTCTTGTGACTCAAGGGAAAAAATTGCTGCATAATAAGTTCTTTGGGTTTATTCCATAGAATTTATTGCAATCCTTTACTTTTCTGTTGAATGTCACGACTTGCCAAATATATAACAAAACTAGTTTTAATAATGTTTACAATCAGAACAGCCACTATGATGAATTACTAGTTTTGCAACTAAAAGAGTAATCAACACATACGACAAACATACAAACTTTGTAGGGTGTAATAGAAGATTGTGTAGCCACAAGTTGTATCAAAGACAACCAGAATTAACCAACTATAAACGGTCTTGCACAGCATAATAGGATTAGGAAAACCAGTTGAGAAACTACATTAGTTTCAAGTTTACAGGAACACATGATGACAACATCACACCTAGGAAAAAGAACACCACACTAGTAAGCATAAATTGATAAAATATCACACCTTTTGATGACAGAAATAATGGTCCACTCTTGTAAACCTGCAAATCAATAATTATAGATCAAAACGATGGTGATTGAGGGAGGTCCCAGGCCATGAGGAGCAATCCCATCATGCACTTCGTTGAGATAAAATCCAAAAAGATTGTGTAGCCCATGTGAACAAGCCTTGGCAGTGACAGTTGAAATGACCCTTTCTCCAATCAAATGATGCTCGAATATTATTTAAGGGAAACTATCTATTCACTGGAAAGATAACTTTAAGTAATATTATTATGATTGTGGCATTATGTATGTGTTCTACATGAGTATGTTAATCAAGTTTCAGGATATAACAGACTAAAGCATGACTACTTTTTCAATCAAAAAATAAATGAAAGGTTGTTGTCATATAAGGCAAACACAACGCAATTGCAAATAAACAATGTTGGGACATCCGAAATTATGTACGTAAAAAAGTAAAAGCAAATCATACACTTACATGGTGATAACATCATATTCTTTAATTAGGCCAATTTTCCACAGAAAGTTGGGATAAACTCAATGTCAGCAAAAATAATGGTAATACTTATCAAAAACACACATTCCAATTTCGTATTTGAAAAGTCAAGTTAACATCAAATTTTCCTTACTATCTGTAAAATGAACATCAAGGAGTAAAATATTTTAAGGAGATGGAAAAATTAAAAACCAGGGAACAAAAGATTAAATCATAAATCATAATCTACAGCATATGAAAGAACAGGATAAATTCTATCAATGGAATATATCACTCCCATCATTCCAAAAAATAAAAATACACTAAATTTATGTATTATGACTGTGAAGTTAACATGAATCTGTAGGTATTTTAGTATTTGTGTTTTACAAGTGAATTGAACTTTACAACAGATTCTACAAATGGAAAATAACCAAGGAAATAATGAGAACAAAACCTTATTGCCATTAAGAGAATGTTGGCTCTCAGCCGGTTCAGCTGCGCCATGTGGAGAAAACGGGTTACCACCACCATCTCCCTAAAACAAAATGGCAACAATTTACTAACAAATAATTTTGCCTTAAGTCCGGCATAAGTCAACGTTGATGGAAATAAATTTATCCCCATTATCTCATTCCCCTAAAATCCCAAAACTACACTATAATTAAAGCATGAAATTCAAAAAGTTACACAATTTAGATCAATGACAATACGTTGATTACCCAAAGAAACGACATTCAAACCTGAGCGGAAGCATCAGCGTTTGTTTTGGAATCAGAATTGTTTTGCACATCAGCGTTGTTCTTCTTAGCAGCAGGATTGTTGTTCTTCGTATCAGCATTGTTGTTCTTATTACTGACAGAGTTGTTGGATTTCAAATCGGCATTGTTGCTTTTGGTGTTGATGGCAGCAGAGTTGTTCTTCGATTCAATCACGTTCGTTTTGGAATCAGCGGCATTGTTTTTAGGATTAGGCATCATCCAATTCAAAATAACAATAGGATTGAGATCAGTTTTAACTCATTCAAACAAATCAAACCTGCATTTAACGCGCAATCAAAAATCAACAATGCTGCAAGAATCATAGCCATATTAATACAAATAAGATCAGAAATGAAACACATACCACCTGGAATCTTCGATGAAATTGGAAATTGTGCAAGAGAAACTGTGAGATGATTGAAAATGGGAAATGGAGGGAGGGAAAAGATGAAGAGAGAGAAAGGTGGTGATTGTAGCAAAAATGGCGACCTCGTATTCACTCCTTTTTCCTACTTTTTTGGGTACATTGCCCCTTTTACACGTCTATCTCCATGTGTAAATAGAAAATGAAAAATCCACAGTACATTACATGAACGAATGAATTATACGTGGCAGATATGCCCACGAACATAACAAAATAATAATATATTACCAAAAATATATATATATATATATATATATATATTTAAGGGTTTAATAGGTAATTATTTATTATTAGTCTAAACTTATTTGGGTTTAATTAAGATTGGACCTTAATCTAATATGGTTAGGTTTTAGTTGGATTAGACCTTATAAAATAAAGTTTATCCCTAAACACTAAACATAATTCACCTTTGCGTTCTTCCTCTCATCTCCTCTAAAAAACGGCGCTCACACCCTCTCCTTAAGGGTGTGGCCGAAAACTACAAAGCACACACATATTATCAATATAAAGTGTGGTGCTTTTTGGGATTGCATGAGAAGAGAAAGGTGATTTCTTGTTGTTTACGAACGATTGAAGCTTTGGAGTGTGAACACGATAGAGAGAATCATGTTATTGGGTTCTTCACTTCCATCTAAAAGGTATTTTTAATCACCTTCTATGTTTGTTCTCTTACTTGTATCGGGTTGTAACTAGATCTCTGAGGTTGTGATTTTTGATTTTGTTTGCTTCCGTTGTTAATGTTTTTGATTATCGGAATCCATTACAACCCAACAGTGGTATCAGAGCCACAGGTACAAAGATATCTTTTTTTATTAGAATTTGTTTTGGGTGTGTTGTAATACATTTAAAATGGAAATTTGGATCTATGAAACACACGCAAAAATTCTAAGGTTTTTTCCATAGACTTTAAGTGTTCAAAACCAAAAGGTTTCTAAATATTAAAGTTGGGATTTCTAACCCTAAATTTTGAAATTGGAGTTTTTTTGAAAACATATATTTCCAATATTTTGAAAATTAAGATTTAGAAGTCTTGATTCGAAAGTTTCAAAACATAAAGTTTTTAATTCCGGAAGTTATGGGTTTTAAACTTTAAATTAGATTTTTTGTAAAACAAAAGTTTCTATTTTGGGTGTTTAAGGTTTTAAACCCTAAATTTTAGTTTTACAAAATATAAAGTTTCTTATTTTAGAAGTCTAGTATTTTAAACCTATAAAATTAAAGTTTCACTTTTGGGAAAGGTTATTTTAAAATTAAAGTTTCAGACTCTAGGATTTTGTGAAAACTAGAGATTCGAATTTTTTTTCAAGAAAAGACCGTGAAAACGATTTCTTATTTCAATTGCTAAAATTTATTTAAATGTGTTTTCCCGAACCTTTGATTCACTTGTATACTTTATGTTCCGATGGTTTTGACATGAAACCATACTTGCAAGAGTATAAAGTGTGTTTGTATGTTTATTTGTCAAAAATTTGATTTTGATGACATTAAAATATTCAAGCAAATATTGATTTAAATTTAATTGATTTAAATTTAAAGTGTCTAAGGGGCCGTTTACCTAAATGCTTATCTGGTAAGCGCTTACCGTTAGGAGTCAACACTATAATTTATTTTACCGGGTAAAATTGTAGTACATCAAAACGTATTTATGCAACAATTTACCTGGTAAGCGCTTAACCGAGTAAGAGTCATCACCCTCACTTACCGGGTAAGACTTTTCATCCTTATCATCGCTCTTACCGGGTAAGATTCTTGCCCCTTGCCATGTTCATCCGGTAAGGAAAATTGCTCAATAAGTACTTATCGAGTAAGCGTTTAATAAACGGCCCCTAAGTGTATGTAACAATCAATCTTTATCAAAATGCTAGGAATTGTATGGATTTGGCATTCCATTGCATTAAATTACAAAATTTGTGTTTGTATGGATCTTGTAATACTTTGCCTCAATTAGACCTATATGATGTGATGTTTTGGTTGTTGTTTGGTTGTTTTTTTTATGGTTGTAATTTTTGCGCGACCTGCGAGTCGTTTTCTTTTCTATGTATTTGTAAAATAGTATAGAGTAGATTACAAGTTTTTTTATTACATATTGTAAAAGAAGACCAAAGACAACAAACAAGATCAATGCCATTTGAAGTCTTGGCGTTGATCCACTCAAGCATTGAAGAAATGGCAAGTTTAGTGTGTCTTTAAGAAGAAAAACAACATGGATAGCAAAGTGTGTATACGAAGCCAGATTGGTAGCGAAGGGCTACACTTAAACTCATGGTGTAGACTATGATGAAACCTTCTCACAAGTGGCTATGTTGAAATCCATCACTACCAGGATATTCATTGTCATAGCAGCATGTCATGACTATGTAATATGGAAAATGAATGTAAAGACTGCTTTCCTTAATGGTAAGCTGTCTGAGGATATATTTATGACACAACCTGAGGGTTTTGTACTGTTCGAGCATCCTGATAGAGTGTGTAAGCTTCAAAAATCTATTTACGGACTTAAGCAAGCTTCTCACAGCTAGAACATCTGCTTCGATGAAAAAAATCAAAGAATTTGGTTTTATGAGGAGCGAAGATGAACCATGTGTATATGTCAGTGGGAGCATTCTGGTCTTCCTTGTGTTGTATATAGATAACATACTCCTCATGGGAAACAATATCCCTACTTTGCAAAGCGTAAAAACTTGGCTAGAGAAATGTTTTTCTATGAAGGACATAGGGGATGCAACATACATACTAGGCATCAAGATCTATAGAGATAGATTCAGGCGTCTTATTGGTCTACTCCAGAGTACCTACATAGACAAAGTGTTGAAGAAATTCAACATGCAGGACTCCAAGAAGGGGTTCATTCCTATGCAGCATGGTTTGGCATTGAGAAAGGCTTAGTGTCCTAGTTCGAGTTCATAGCTAGAAAGGATGAGTCAAATCCCTTATGTCTCAGCTATATGATCGATCATGTATGCCATGATATGTACTAGACTTGATGTGTCGTGTGCTTTGAGCATGACGAGCCGATATAAAGCCAATCCTGGAAATGACCATTGGACAATGGTAAAGAATATCCTCAAGTATTTGAGACGAACTAAAGAAATGTTCTTAGTTTATAGAGGTGCAGAGGAACTCAGTGTGAAGGGTTACACTGATGTTAGTTTCCAAACCGACAGAGATGATTTTTAATCCCAGTCGGGATTCATGTTCTTGTTGAATGGTGGAGCAGTTTCTTGGAGTAGCTCCAAGTAAAGCACCGTAGCAGACTCGACAACGGAGGCTGAGTACATTACGGTCAACGAGGCTGCAAAAGAGGCTGTGTGGATGAAGAAGTTAATAGGGGATCTTGGTGTAGTTCCTAGCATTCAAGATCCTATAGAGATCTTCTGTGACAATGAGGGTGCAATCATCCTAGATAAAGAACCCAGCTCACATAGGTGCATACGATATATACTCAGGAAGTTTCACTACGTTCGTAAGATTGCCGAGGTCAGAGACATCATCATTAGTAGAGTTGGCATGGATGGGAACTTGGCTAATCCATTCACCAAGCCCTTATCGCAGACCAAGCATGATACTCATACTAGGTCTATAGGCATTAGATTTGCTAACGATTTGGCTTAATTGCATTCATTTTGTTGATTTGAAATTTCGGAACTTACACACTTACTTTATGATGTATCGATGTTATGATTGAGATCTTAATATATGCTTGGAGCAGTTACTATCATTCAGTGTATCATTAATGTTCCACTTTGCGTGTTTATTAACTTCCTTGAACGATTAGTTCAAAAAAATTCACAGTCGGTTGTTCTCCACTATAAGGGAGTAGTGAACTAAGATTGATGTGGACTGTTAGTTGATTATCCATAAGAGATGGATTTAGCATAAAGATGCAGCTATACACTTACATGTATTTGATAGAGATCAAGTATTGGAACGACCCGCACTTAGACATCGATTAATGGATCATGTCACAAGCAATTCAAAGATGGTAATATTTGCTATCCTTAAGTAGAGATGTGATGTATGTTGAGAATTCAACATATAAAACACTTGTTTTACGTTTTATTAGTTAAATTAGTTTTCTTTCATTCCCACTTTGAGTCATTTTTATTAATTTCTTTATACCTTTGTTATTATGGAGCTAAATATTGTGGTTGACTTGTTGGTACTAAAGAAAGAAGCTAATGGAAGTTTTTGATAAACAGCAGGATGCTATAGCATTGGAGCAGCAGCGATCTGATACATGCGCAACTTTTTGGAGAACTTATTGATTAAGCTGCTGCCTTTTTGAGCTTTGTGGAAGACAGCTAGAGACTGATGGCTTTTGATTAAAATATGGGATTAAAACTCTTGTTAGGAATATGTACTTTCTAGTTTCTCTAATTGTGCTTTGTAACTAGTTTTGGGAAACTTAGTCCCTAAGCTTAGTACTTTTGTCTTTTAGTGACTCCTTGGTGTATAAAAGGAGGGCTTGGGTTTCACTTTTGAAGACACACTTGAACATC